TACGACGGCTACAAATGTCACTGTCTGATAAACATAATTTAACAACGTTGTTTTACGTTTCCTCAGGTACGTGTCCGATCATGCTTACGACGGCTACAAATGTCACTGTCTGATAAACATAATTTAACAACGTTGTTTTATGTTTCCTCAGGTACGTGTCCGATCATGCTTACGACGGCTACAAATGTCACTGTCAACAGAAATTGTTGCAAAGCGAAGACGTGGAACCCCAGAACGCCCGCACTTACCCACCAACTTGGTTGGAATGGAAAGCGAACACCAGGAAAGCGAACATGGCTCTGGAGGCGAAGTTCGCAGACGGTAATTGAATGGTGTAAAATGTATCACACTGTGGACAAAATCGGAACGAGGCGTCGTTTTCACGCTAAGCCTTGTTGGCATATTGTCTGTAGTGTATTTGAATAATTTGTTAGATAAGTTATAGGAACGTAGTAGAACAAGTTTCAAATAACTTCGAATGCTTGATTATCACCACGTTTTGTTGAATAACATGTTAGTTGTATTGTAAACAGTCACCAAAATAGTTGGCTGTATTATCAAATGTAAAGTTCAACTCGTTATTATTCAAACATCTGATGTCACTGAGATATGTATTACTTTAAACAACAAACACAAACCTTGCTTTCGTAGGTCGCATATGTAAATATATCGTTCACGAACAGTTTTATTTCGACACTAAGTACCAGTTAAACAACAAGACTTTGAAAGCCCGACAAGTTAAATGTTTGTCTGCTGAAATAAATTATCAGATTAAACCCCAAAATTAATCTGTATTTAGCTCTAACTTGGCAGATTAAATTGTATAACTCATATTTTTGGTTAAACAGTACGCTGTTTTCAAAATGTGCAACAGTTGCTCAGCTAGAGTGTGATCTGACGTTACGTTAACAGCCCAGCTTCAAAAAAAACCAAACGAAACCCAAGTACTACACAGGGTGGCAAGTTGCTCCTATAGATAAGGTTGTACATGACTTAGTCGATCGGGGTGTTACTATTGGTTTTTATTCTGTTAGAATGTCACCTTATCAAACACTCTTACCTTATCTCGTACGATTATTGATTCACCAGGTGGCGCTGCGTATGGTCCCGTGGAATCATGGACAGTTGGCGAAGACTTTGCTTCTTTTCTTCTGAAAGCTAGGTAAGTAAAATCCAGACAATTCTCGTTGTTAGATGTTAGAAAAAAAATCACTCGGGACAATGATGATCAAATAACGAAACCAAAAATATTTTTTTTTAGTATCGGTTGAAACTTTATTTCGTGATTTATGATTAATGTTGTTTTCTCTCAGGGGTATCGACGAAGGATTTGGCTGGTCCGTAGAGTTGCTGGATGACGGAAACGTGTATGATTTGAATGGGAACGACTACGTACTCGATTTAATATCCGAGATGGAGATACCACCATCTTTTCCAGTGTGTAAATCCTATTTCACGGTGTCTCCGGACCGACAGAAATCCGAACTAATGCAGCGTAAACCAGCTTGGGCTAGTTCGTAAGTAAATATCTGTGGAAATTTAACAGTCCGAAAATTGGTTGAATGTGTGAAAATATGTTTCAGTAAAAAAAATCGTAGCTGTTCCACGTAATAATAAAATAATCCGTCACCGTGACCAAGTGTTGGCTGAATTAATCCTTCACCGTGACCAAGTGTTGGCTGAATTAATCCTTCACCGTGACCAAGTGTTGGCTGAATTAATCCGTCACCGTGACCAAGTGTTGGCTGAATAGTTTTTTTTTCTAACTTTATTGCCAAAATGTCTAAATTATTCCAGTGTTCGCTAGCAACTTTCTATGAAAATGTTTGTTTTTAAAAGCCTTCTTTTCGTTTTGGTACAGATTTGTACGTTATTAGGGGCTTGACGTACTTTGTTGAAATTATTTAAATACTACTGAAAGTGAGTTAATTATACATGTAATTTGATCCTCTGTTTTTAGTTAATGGCTATTTGGGCTTGACGTACTTTGTTGAAATTATTTAAATACTACTGAAAGTGAGTTACTTATACATGTAATCTGACCTTGTGTTTTTAGTTAATGGCTATTTGACCTGTGTTTTTAGTTAATGGCTATTTGGGCTTGACGTACTTTGTTGAAATTATTTAAATACTACTGAAAGTGAGTTAATTATACATGTAATCTGACCTTGTGTTTTTAGTTAATGGCTATTTGACCTGTGTTTTTAGTTAATGGCTATTTGACCTGTGTTTTTAGTTAATGGCTATTTGACCTGTGTTTTTAGTTAATGGCTATTTGACGTGTGTTTTTAGTTAATGGCTATTTGGGCTTGACGTACTTTGTTGAAATTATTTAAATACTACTGAAAATGAGTTACTTATACTTGTAATATGACCTGTGTTTTTAGTTAATGGCTATTTGACCTGTGTTTTTAGTTAATGGCGATTTGGGCTTCACGTACTTTGTTGAAATTATTTAAATACTACTGAAAGTGAGTTACTTATACATGTAATCAAACCTTGTGTTTTTAGTTAATGGCGATTTTGGTTAAGAAATTATTATTGTTATTTTTTACAGGTGATATATTTAATTGGTCATTTTACAGAAATCTACAGATCAAGCATTCCGAATTTTTGTTAGCTAATTCGCCGATAAAATACGTTTTTATAATAGGTTAAATAAAATAGTGATAGCTGAATTATAACTTGACCAGAAAAGAGAATAGAGCTTTTCCTTAGAACCTTTAATGGACCTAAGAAATTGTGTAAAGCAATAAATTTAGTTGGTGATTTTTTCTTCTTTCCTTTTCCACACCAAAAGTAAACAAATCAGATTCAATGTCATCTGTTAGTTCCCACGTTTGTTCAACAATACTCAGATGATCAATGTCATCTGTTAGTTCCCTCGTTTGTTCAACAATACTCAGATGATCAATGTCATCTGTTAGTTCCCTCGTTTGTTCAACAATACTCAGATGATCAATGTCATCTGTTAGTTCCCTCGTTTGTTCAACAATACTCAGATGATCAATGTCATCTGTTAGTTCCCTCGTTTGTTCAACAATACTCAGATGATCAATGTCATCTGTTAGTTTCCTCGTTTGTTCAACAATATTAAGATGATCAATGTCACCTGTTAGTTTCCACGTTTGTTCAACAATATTAAGATGATCAATATAAAAGGCTTACCTGAAGTATTTGTATTAAGTGTCACGATATATTTCACATGTAAAGGTCACGGGGCTTTAACCATTATATACAGCTTCAACCCGTGCATCATTTCTTCGAACTAAAACTGTGGTAAATATAGTCGAACAGATTGTAAAATTTGTGATAATTCTGATGATGTATGTGGACAATCTTATAACTCATTTATATCTTATATATTGTATGGACACGTTTGTTAGTCCACAATTGTGGCAGTGTGGACACGTTTGTTAGTCCACAATTGTGGCAGTGTGGACACGTTTGTTAGTCCACAATTGTGGCAGTGTGGACACGTTTGTTAGTCCACAATTGTGGCGGTGTGGACACGTTTGTTAGTCCACAATTGTGGCGGTGTGGACACGTTTGTTAGTCCACAATTGTGGCGGTGTGGACACGTTTGTTAGTCCACAATGGTGGCGGTGTGCAGTGTGGACTCGCTTGTTAGTCCACACTGGTGGCGACGTACCGTACATCTATCACTAGAAGTGAAACACAAGGTATTGGATACTAAGAGTTTAGGTTATAGAAAGACATACCTCTTAAGATCTTATCATTCTTTAGAATGTAGTATGTGCTAGTGTTACGTCGAGACAGGGCATTGGATGTCAACCAAAACCATTGTTACTTGTTCGAATCTAATCGCAGAGGGCAAAGTTTGTTCAATTAATCGTGTTCAAAATATCAGTAGGGACTTTGTCTTTTATCTGTTGTATTTACACTTCCAATTTTACATGAAACAAAGAAAAACAACGTTTTTTTTTCTTCAACAGAGGTAAACTTAATATAAAAAAACTGATTCAACTTATTATACCAAAGACTATTACAATTTACAGCTTTTATAGTAAGGAAAATTATTTTTAGAACAGGTACGCCGTTTTCACCACTGGTGCGATCATTCTGAAGTAAATTTCTTGTAATAAAGTAATATTTAATCAGTAGGTAAACTCAAAAGGAAAATATTTATACCAAAGATTCAAGTATTATACCATAGTACGAGTTTAGATAGTTTAAGCCATTAATTACCAAATTGAGCATAGTACAAGATTAGATAGTTTAAGCCATTAATTACCAAATTGAGCATAGTGCAAGATTAGATAGTTTAAGCCCTTAATTACCAAATTGAGCATAGTGCAAGATTATATAGTTTAAGCCCTTAATTACCAAATTGAGCATAGTGCAAGATTATATAGTTTAAGCCCTTAATTACCAAAAATCTTGCACTATGCTCAAGGCTTAAACTATATAATCTTGCACTATGCTCAATTTGGTAATTAAGGGCTTAAACTATCTTTTGGTAATTATTAATCTTGCACTATGCTCAAAGATAGTTTAAGCCATTAATTACCAATAATGTAAATATCAAATAAAAGGAATATTATAATACAAAAGTACGTATATGTTTACCTATTTACTTGATCGTTATTAAAGTCTGGAGTAGGTAATTCATAACAATATATGTTGTTTAATACGGATAAATCTTATTTATTTATCACAAAAATCTAAAATAGGTAATTCACGACAGTTTTACTAAGATTAGTTCGTGTTTTGCATTTATAAATTCTTAGGTTTATTCATTACTGTAAATAAGCTATGTCTAAAGTGGCTCAATTAAACCTAGCGGTTCAGATGCTTTTCAGAATGATAGCTGCTTTAACAAATATACTTGCTAAAAACTTTATGATCATTTTTTAATTCTTTATTGTATAACATGCATCTTATTATTTATTTTAATATAATATTTTTATTATAGCAGTAATATAGTATATGAATTAGAAAAGCTAGTTATTTCGGCTTGGTAAATTTCCCTTGCCCTTTGAAAGTGGAAAGGACATATGTTACTTAAATCTAAGTTGTACATCGTTATTAAAACAACGTTGAGGATATATTTGGAGAGAGAAGAGCGTGTACTTTCGCTGGGGCTACACTCCTATAGCTTGTAACCGAATATAATAAATAAAACGAACTGAGTTGTCGTTAAAAATGACGAGTTATTGAAAAAAAAACGTAAACTTAGTGCTGAGATTTCATGGTTAAAAGGGAGATAAAGAAAGATATTTATGTTTGAGAAGTTAATTTAAACAAAGTTTACTTCTGACAAGTGTCGTGGTAAAAGACGGTCTAATATGAGGGTCATAGTAAAATATACAACTTTGTTATTAAGGAGTTTTTTCTTAGGTGATTTCACAATTGGGTTTTCGTCGTTTAACGTACCAAAATTAAACAGGATAAAATAAAAAATTGCCTAAGCTAGACCCTGGTGGATCAGCAGTAAATTGGAGGGTTTATAACGCTAAAAATCTGTTTTCGATACTTGTGGTGGGTAGAGAACAGATAGCTTATTTTATAACTTTGTGCTTAACAACAAACAAACTTGCCGAAACTGATACTTTCGATGACAATTAGGCTAAAGAACAAAAGTCTTGTTAGTATTTTTAAGGGAATTCCCTAACAAGTCTTGATTGACAGTTTATGAAATCATGTTTTATGTCACAGGTGTGAAAGCTAACATAGACAATTCTTTTTAAAATGGATATAATTGGACAAATATTTAGGCCTTTGTTTTGTTTTTTTGTTTACATGCGTCTTAATATTTTGTCTTTGAAAAAAGTTACTATTTTGTTTTCTTAAAAGACGAAACAAATTGTACCCAAGTTTGAATTTAAGATTAAGCCTAATAATATTTCAGTTAATTTTTTCTGTCATTAAGTTGCAAAAGTAATTATTGTTATATTGAATACAGTCTGTCAGCCGTACCTTTGATGGTCAAATAACTTCGTTTGTGATTTTAAAAACAGAATCATTGGAGTTCGTTATGTGGTTGGATACTAATATTGATGTCTCAAACTTATTCTGTTATGACTGAATTAAGAATATTTTCTGGAATCATTCATCAATCAAGTTTTACTAAGTCTTGAGTTATTTTTAATATACTAGCGAAAGTATTAGGTTGGTAGTGTTTGTATTCTGAACTCATTTTAGCATCTAAGTATAACCTATTTATTTTTGTTGCTAAGCAACATACATAAAAGTCATTGTTGGAACGCATTGTTACCAAAACAAACTGAATTTTCTATATATTAGAAGTTGTTATATAAAGAACCATTTCTTTAATATGTGGTTTTTCGCTAGCTTGCCTCATTAAAAAGAATCTACCAACGTTTGACTGCCTTGACTGCACTTTTCTGCCTCTTTGTTGGTCAAACTTGATTTCACAAAATTTATTTATTTCAGTTAGCTATCTGGGTATTGTCTTATTAAAAATATGCGCGCACGCACGTAGATAAGTAATAATAATAATACCCAGGTGCACACCCTCAGGGTCCACTTAGTATGGGAGCAAAATTTCAGGTTACTAGGTTCTTTCGTCTTGGAGCTATGGCAGTCACATTTTCTTTTCTATGCGGTTTTCGCTTGCTTACCTCACAAAAAGATGCACACGGGGATAAATAATAATATCCGGTTGCACACTTTCAGAGCACACTTTAGTATGTGTGCAAAATTTTAGGTTTCTAGATTCTTTCCACTTGGAGTTATGACGTTCACTAACACAGACACGCCCTTTTATTATTACTATTATTATAGGTGACTCTTCCGTTTTTTTGTTTTATCCTGATAATGTATGTATTATTGTTTAATATACAAATATGTCACACATTCACTACGTAAATTAATTTGTTTATTGCAAACTTTCGACTTCTTAACAGAAGTTGTCTTTACTCGAAGAAGACTTTGGTTAATGAGCCAAAAGCTTACAATAAACAATTTACATAGTGAATGCCCAACATCTTTGTATATTAAACTCATCTATTTTCTAATTTATGGTAACAAACATGATGGCTACCTACCAGTGTCAAGGTTAGCCTTTTCCAAACATGGTTTTCAACTTTCTACATTGATGGCTACCTACCAGTGTCAGGGTTAGCTATTTCCAAACATGGTTTTCAACTTTCTACATTGATGGCTACCTACCAGTGTCAGGGTTAGCTATTTCCAAACATGGTTTTCAACTTTCTACATTGATGGCTACCTACCAGTGTCAGGGTTAGCTATTTCCAAACATGGTTTTCAACTTTCTACATTGATGGCTACCTACCTAAATGTGTTCTAGGAGGGCATTGTATTGAATATTAAATGTGTTACAGGAGGGCATTGTCTTGATAAATTAAATGTGTTACAGGAGGGCATTGTATTGATAAATTAAATGGTTACAGGAGGGCATTGTATTGATAAATTAAATGCGTTACAGGAGGGCATTGTCTTGATAAATTAAATGCGTTACAGGAGGGCATTGTCTTGATAAATTAAATGTGTTACAGGAGGGCATTGTATTGATAAATTAAATGCGTTACAGGAGGGCATTGTATTGATAAATTAAATGCGTTACAGGAGGGCATTGTATTGACAAATTAAATGCGTTACAGGAGGGTATTGCATTGAATATTGTGTGTATTGTATTTTTCTACAGGCCTCATAATCCGGAAAAAATAAATACTTTTGAAATAGACATCCAAGAGGCGCCTCCAGCACCAGTCCGTCACCATCCGACTAAAACACCACATCTGGTGAGCGATGGTGTGGTAAGATCAGAGCGTGTGGAACGTGCTCGTCAGGAACTAGAAAAGCAAGCGAGGAAACACGAGCGAACTTTCCGTCAAGACAGACATCAAGAGAACGTGGAACCTAAGATCATCCATCAAAGATCACAAGAACAATATAGAAAAGCTATTTATCAGCAGAGAGACCTACAGTCGGAACACGATAGTTTTGACTTGTCTGTTCAGCACCAACAGCACATATCCAGGAAAGATAAATTGGCCCATCTGGAAAAAGCTCATCAGGTGGAACAAGAACTTACTGTACAAGCAACAGCTGGCCGGGGATCTGGTTTGTTATATGATTTTATTACGCAGCAATATGAGGAATTAATTTTCTGTTTAACTTTGATTTATTGTATCTTGCATTAGACAGTATCACTTAGTTTTCTTATTATACACTTGGAAGTAAAGTACATCATATAATGAAATAATTTAAATTTGATATGATTCTTTATGGTTACATTCTAAATACAGACATGCATTTCAGGACCCAGAGAAACAAGAGACAACACACAGTCCCAGATGGAACGAATAGAAGTCATGGACTCATCACGGTCTTTGTCTCTTGAGCGATTAACGGAAGATGGAGGAGCAGGAGATGGAGGAACAGCCTTGTCCAAAACGAGCATTTTGAATGAGAGATATTATTCTTCTCGCAAAGAAGAAGAAATTAAAGGTGCTTCTCATGTTATGCGTCAGGAAGTTAAAACATCTCTGTCTCCTCAAGATCTTGGCCTGTCCAAAACTAGTAAACTCAACCAGCGGTATGAGAAACAAATTGAGACTGAAGATCCGAGGGAGGGCCTTTCCAAAACTAGCAAGCTAAATCAAAGATATGAACAAAGGGAACCTGAAGACCCTAGAGATGGACTTTCAAAAACTAGCAAACTAAATCAACGATATGAACAAAGGGAACCTGAAGACCCTAGAGATGGGCTTTCAAAAACTAGCAAATTAAATCAGAGATACGAACAAAGGGAACCTGAAGACCTTAGAGATGGACTTTCAAAAGCTAGTAAACTAAATCAACGCTATGAAGTACAAGCAGAAGTAGAAGAACGTAGAGATGGTCCATTAAAATCTAGGAATCTAAACCAGCGCTACGAGAAACAAACCACAGTTGAAGAAGCTTTGTCTAAAACAAGCAAACTAAACCAGAGGTATGAAAAACAAGGAGAAGCTGAAGATTCTAGAGAAGGCCTTTCTAAAACAAGTAAACTAAATGCTCGCTACGATAATCAGGTTGACCCACTATCTGAAACCAGTAAATTAAACAAACGGTATTTGCAGACGAAAATGGGCACTGGACGTGGAAGTTTGGAAAGACCGAGAGCTCCGCCTCCTCCACCTCCAGAACCACGTGAGCCAACACCTCCTCCAAATTCAAGTAACGAACCGTGGGTTGGGCAACTTGGTCTGGCCTCTTCAGCTTTGAATGATCGTTATTTTAGCCAGTTAGATTTGACAAGGTCTCAACCGCCAAGAGAAGGAAGTGAAATTAGTAGCAGAAAGCTTGGACCCGGTAGTAAGAGGAGTTCTAGCCTTCATGACGTTAGTCTGTTGAATGGGCAAGGACGAAAATCAAACAACTCCAGCTATCCTCCATCAGGAGTCCTACCAGGTCGAGAAAGAGCTTCCAGTCCCCAACCTTCTTCCAATGGCGGAGTCGACTTCCCAGAGCTGGACTTCACACAGATGAGTACAAGGGATTCGGACCCAGAAGGAGACCAAGACACATCACCTTATAGCAGGACAACAGAGTCCACCCGCTATGTGAAATACATCTCCAAGAAACCTCAACCCAGTCAATATTCCCACTCCACTAAAGCTCATATAGGCCGAACCAAGGAAACGGAATACAGTGGGGTGCGGAGTTCGGCCCTATCAGACACTTCGGAGGCTCCTTCCCTCGCATCTCACGTCAGAAATGTCCACGTGCCTTCGCACGCTTCCGACCTCGACCAGTATCTAGACGAACTTTTCAATCCCGTTTTAGACGGGAACTTGGATGAGATGAGTGATGCACGATCTTTAGCTGCATCGATCAAAGGACGAGGATCATTCCTTCAAAAGTCCCCTGGAAGGCCAAATACAGAGCTCTCCTCTGATCATATATTAACAGAAAGATCTATTGAAGACATGTTTGAACAGATTCTAGACGAAGATCTAGCGGGATTAACAAATCCCGATCTTATGGTTAAGGCATTAAAGGGAGGTGGAGACCGTATGGCGCCATCTGGCAGCACCAGTCAGGCTTCTGATGACGTGGATGAGTACTTGGACGATCTCTTCAGACCAGTTTTAAACTCGGATTGTGAAGACTTGACTGATGCAACAGCTGTAGCCCTATCACTTAAAGGTGGTGGTCAGACTGGTGGAGGCGTGGAAACGCAGGTAAAAATAAAAGTTTGTTGTTTTTAGTATTGGAGTACACAGAGGAAAAGTAAGTGGTATCTTGTTTCTGTATTTTCTCTGTGTTTAATACAAAAACAACATCAGTATGTAGAGAAAAATTATAACTAGAGAGAGGAGTCTTTTGAAAGCTTCCTTGTAGAAATTGTGACTGCTAAACGTAAACAGATAAGAATAACATAATTACTTTCAAAGTTTGTAACGAAACGCAGGTAACTATTGAAAAAAAACAACAGCGGTACACAAACTAACAGGTTTGTTTCTACGAGTAGTGACGATATAAAGATGTGGTCATATATAACGAATTTTTATTTTGTTCTGCTCAAATTTTACATTAGTATTAGTACAGACTTTTTAAAACCTGCGTTAATTCTTTTTGTTTATTTATACTCAAAACCTTTTGCCACTTTACTAAACCAAAAATCTACTCGTTTTTTGCAGGTCACGCCAACACCTCACCTAGGCCTAAACTACAGCGCCCCCATGGGACCAAACGCAGCATTAGGTATGCAGTCTCCAGTGTTTAACAGTTCTTTTCCTGGCCTGGGGGCGACAATGGGTGCCCCAACAGTGAATACAAGTATGCAAACTTTCAATATGGCCGGTAGGTGGAGTTGTTTTTTCATAGTAGTTATATTGAAAGACGTGAAGAAATGTTCCTAGCTTAAACGTAAACGTTTTTTGTTGTTTTTAATTCCGTAATATTGCAAATTGAGTGCGTGAAAATTTGTTACACGATTTTTTACATGATTAGGTGTGAGTGTTACGTCATCCGCGTGCTTTGTGTGAAACTGATAGAATATTTTATTTGCTAATATGCATCGTAAAGGTTTTACGGTCGTGTGTCGTAATACATCGACTTGCCAATCTTGATTGTCGTCATTCGACAGTCGTGATTAACTTCCGAGCAGAGCAAGCAATGTATTTGAAGAGAAACTGAAAATCAAGCTAGTAATGAATATTTGGAGTTATATATACTCATAAACACTAAGACTGTATAGTTCTTCATCAGTTCAGTAATCTTGCTGTTAAAAATACATTTTAATAAAATAGTTCGTCGTTAAAGATTTGCTCACATCGCAACAGAATACAGAAAAACTACTTGAACTATGGTATAAAAAAATTAGTTTGTCTTGTATATTGTGACTAGATGAGATGCTAGGTTGTGTACAGTACTTGGGCAACCTTTCTGATCTTTATATATATATTCTTGAAAGCGTCGTAAATCTGTGTTTTTGTAGGACCGGGCGTGACTAAAAGTCGACTTTGGAGTATTTGCTACTGGTATATAGCGTTAACAGTCGACTGTGGAGTACTTGCTACTGGTATCGAGGGTTAACAGTCGACTGTGGAGTACTTGCTACTGGTATCGAGGGTTAACAGTCGACTGTGGAGTACTTGCTACTGGTATCTAGCGTTAACAGTCGACTGTGGAGTATTTGCTACTGGTATCTAGGGTGAACAGTCGACTGTGGAGTATTTGCTACTGGTATCTAGCGTGAACAGTCGACTGTGGAGTATTTGCTACTGGTATCTAGCGTGAACAGTCGACTGTGGAGTATTTGCTACTGGTATCGAGGGTTAACAGTCGACTGTGGAGTATTTGCTACTGGTATCGAGGGTTAACAGTCGACTGTGGAGTATTTGCTACTGGTATCGAGGGTTAACAGTCGACTGTGGAGTATTTGCTACTGGTATCGAGGGTTAACAGTCGACTGTGGAGTACTTGCTACCGGTATCGAGGGTTAACAGTCGAATGTGGAGTATTTGCTACCGGTATCGAGGGTTGACAGTCGACTGTGGAGTACTTGGTACCGGTATCGAGGGTTAACAGTCGACTGTGGAGTACTTGCTACTGGTATCGAGGGTTAACGTACTAAACTGTAAAAATTTACATATTTGTAAATAACAGTTTGAAAACGAAGTTGGTTTAAGTCTATAACAATCATATCGTTTACATATGGCGAAGTTTGTGCATATTATCGTATGTTCTTTATCTCCGGTTTCAATTAAGAAGGGTTTTTTTAATTTACAGGAATGACAGACGGAGTAAAACGTCCCTTTATCACTAACATCAGGCGTAGGTTAACTTTTCTTCTTGTATCTGGTATACTTTCCTAATGTGATCCGTTACAGAAACTTAAATTAATGTATAACAATTTTTTTTTATTTAGAAGCTGTTGAGTTTGCATGATGGTAATTGGAATTTATTGCACCATGGTATAATACCCTCCAGTGTTTGTAAATAATACATCTGCATGCTTAAATTTTTGTTCTAACTGTCTGTCTGTCGGCACATGTCTTTAGGGAGCCCTCTACCACCACATGCTGTCTCACCACTACCAGCTCTTCAGCTGTCAGTTCCCCAAGTCTACAACATGTCGGGTAGGTTTAACACTGTAGCTTAGCAAGAAAACTTGTTCGATATGAAACGAATATAGAAGACTTGATTTATAAATGTCCCGCTTACTTTAAAAATAATTAATAGAACTGTTGTTTCTCCAATAATGTTTTTTACTTTTTTGTCCATTACTTTGTATAGGTATGACGGTCCCAATGATGGACACGTCACAGCTCATCCAGAAACAAATCGTCCAGCAGCAAATGATGCAGGTATGGAAACAGTTATCAACTAACTAGCTGTTTACAAGAAGTAGTAAGAGTGAAACGTTTAGGTATGGAAACATTTATCAACTAACTGGCTGTTTACAAGTAGTAAGGGCGAAACGTTTATGTATGGAAACATTTATCAACTAACTGGCTGTTTACAAGAAGTAGTAAGGGCGAAACGTTTATGTATGGAAACAGTTATCAACTAACTAGCTGTTTACAAGAAGTAGTAAG